CCGAGCGCTCACACTCTGTCCGAGCAAAACAGAGCTCGAGCGGCACATTCGTTTCTTACATCATTCTGCGTGATCATAATCGAAACATCACTTTCACCCTATTTCCAACCAAAATGGATTACCACATTTAACTCTTAGGCGCTTATTAAAAGCCATATCCCTACGATTAAAACAGTTTCTCGCTACCAGCGCACAAGAATTCTTTTCGGCTTCTGATTCGCCAAGAGAGCATGCCAAGCCCTCTTTCTGCGTCTATTGCACGGCCTGGCTCTGCCTGCGCCACCCATTCACCAAACTCTCTGTGTACGGGGCTCTGCCCCACGCCCCAATACTTCGTTTCACCTTGGGTCCGAGCGCGGCCGATGTTACGAGCCAAAGGATCAATCAAACAGCTCAAAAACCGCCACGTCATGGCGTGCTCTCTTCGCTTGATAGGACTAGCCGGTGGAGGAGCACGCACAGAGAGACGGCAATTACCGGCTAGTCTTATCAACGCTGTTTGATTGGCCCTTCGGCTGATAACATCGGCCGCGCTCGGACCTAAGCTGAAGCGAAGTATATATATACGCCTCGCAAGTGGGCTCATTTTCGTCTTCTGCGCATGAGAAAGGAAGTAGCGGTAACCTCAGAACGCCGAGCCCTGATTGGCTGATCGCGACCCCCTATCTCAGCGTCGTCTGCTCTCCTTTGCAACGTCGTCTGCTCGCAACATCGTCTGCGTCTGTCTTACCCTTCCTGCGACTTTCGGAAGTGCAGGTCTTTACGAGCGAGCTTGACTTCGCCTTTCAGAGAGGGCAGACGAAATAACTCGAGCGGTACGTTTTTGTCTAACAACTAGCAGACACGCATCAAGGAAGGAAGTCAAAGGACTCACTGGCGAGGTGTCCCGAGGCGCCGAGGTTTGTTTGCTAAGAACCGAGAGTGAGCGTGTTAGTGTCCGCAAGTTCCCTCCCAAATACTTTTTCCCTCCTTTCGTGTGCGGCGAGACCCCTCATTCTTTAATGGCGACGCAGGGTTGGCGCAGTTAACGTCGTCTGCTTTACGTCTGCTAGTCAAAGCGACGGCTTCTATGCCTTTCCTGCGTCTGTCGGAGATTCACTGCTTTTTCATCGGCGAGAGTCACCGTTGCCTCGGGAAACAAGGAGATACCAAGAGGAACAAATTGACCTCTTAATCTAAAACTGACGTCAGCGATCAAAGTATAATACGGAAGGGTTCACAAGGGTCGCGCGGGCATATTCCATTCAGCACACCAGCCGATCGTGGGCAGACGGTCGCCGAGTCGCGGAATGCCTGCTAGGCCTAACTTCCGTGCTCGCTTGGTCGCGTTCGGTGGAATCGTGGCCGTTGGAGCTTTTCCCGGGTGTTTGTGGATCCAGCGTTCTTGTTCGTCGTGGTCTGTTTCAAGTAATTTTTACTTTTTCTTGCTGCTTGAAGGCGGGACGCGCGAGAAGCGCACGTAGAAAAATAAACGTCCGTGGGTCGTCACGACCGCGACGCTGCCGGCCATGCTGATTTGATCGTAAGAAGTGCGTAAGACAGCTTCGGAGCTGTCGTAGGATTTCGTCGTAACCTGCGCAAAACTTACGAAAATTTTATTTCGTGAAAAGTTATGTCTTACGCACATTTTTGACGTAAGATCGTATCGTGAATCTGGCCCCTGCACTTCCGAAAGTCTCAGGAAAGGTAAGACAGACGCAGACGACGTTGCGAGCAGACGACGTTGCAAAGGAGCAGACGACGCTCAGATAGGGGGCCGCGATCAGCCAATCAGGGCTCGGCGTTCTGACGTCACCGCTACTCCCTGCGCAAGAAGCAGACGAACTTGCCCTCCGCATAACTTTGAAACGCGTATTTCTATAGTGCGTGCTCGTTCAGCGGAAAAATGCCCCAGAGCAGCGACGTCTAACACTCGTACTTGTTTCGTCGTCTGCATTCAGCTGTGAGTGGAGTATAGACTTTCGCATCGCTTATCACCCGGGCGGAAAATGCTGAGTCACAGAGCCATGGGAGCATGCGCAGCGTCTGATATGCCTCACAGCAGAGCAACGGGGTATGGTCACATGGCGCTCCACAGCCCGAGAAGACAAAGATGACAGCGCGCAGAAGGCGCTTTTTTGCTAACGTCTACAGTGGAGAACAATGAAGAAAACACTGATGTCATAATCACTCCTTTTTGAAGCTTGAGTGTGCTGGTGGCTCGAATATGAACAAAAAAAAAAGGGGGGGGGGGCTTATTGCCGGGTGCGAATAGCTGAGTCAGCAGTGTGCTCGACTCCCACGCCACTCGATGGGGTTTGATCCCCGCCAGCGCTGGTCCTTTTTATCTCTTTTGTTTGTATGACTGTAATATTCCGGATGACTCCCAAATATGTTCGTTCGAGCTCGGAAACTTACTTCGTCTCACCCGACGATGGACTAAAGGCAAAAGCTACAGACCGCCAGATCCAATCACGAGTCACTTAGAAATTGTACGGTATTTCGATTCGATGCACGAATCGGTGCCCGCGTCTCTGATCACTGATGAGCGGACGGGTGGACAGTGGTTCAAATCTACGAGCACTTAGTGACTCGTAGATTCAAATCACTGTCCATCGCAATGGACAGTGGTTTGAATCTTTTTAGATCGCAATGAAAGCCATGACATAGAGGTTCGTTGTAATTCAATGACTATTTTTGTAGTCTATTACAAGTAATCAATTATATGTTTTTGAAAGAGCTCAAAATATTAAGATTAGTTTTTTTTTTTACGTAAAATACTCTGCCCGTGCGTCAAACGCCTATGTTGCACCGACGTTGGATACTTTTCCCCCTTTAGACAACTAGAAAAGGACACCAAGATACCAAAAAGATTAGGATGTCAGCCGGCTCAGCGACGTTTTGACTGTCAAGCTGTCCAGAGTGCCTCGGTTTCTATGAACAAATTGACCCCCCCCCCCCTCCCCCTCCCATTACATTTTGAAAGAGTTCACCAGTGCGTGCTTGTACAGAACGTACTATACTTCGTTCCAGCTTCCGTCCGAGCGCAGCCGAAGGCTGAGGGACGGTTCGCAGCTTCGAGAAGAGCATTCCTACACACCACAAAATAATCCGCAAAATATTTTTTTTTATATATAACTGTTTTCTGTGTAAACATTGGACAAGATTCCAGATATGTACTGCTGAAAGTGATTCGCAACTGAAGGAATGAAATGTCTGAGGATTATGGTTTTTATTAATATATGTAAATGAATGTGGTTTGGTGAAAACACGTACATCTGCTGGCAAGACGGCTGCAGCGCTCGGTGTTTCTGTGTGATTTCGTTCCCGTAATGGCCGAATCATGTGCTTTGCTGCTTTCCTCACCGATTCGCTTCAAAGCGTCCTTTTGCAAAGGCACGTTTGGGCGTCAAGCGCGAGAGGTCGTGATGAATGTCTATTTTCACATTCGGCAGGAGACTCCTGCCGCGTCGTACCGCGAAGTTGTCAAACGAACATCCGTACTGACAGGCGTCGCACAGTCAACAATTTTCTCGTAGAAGCGGCTCGACATGTCGACGCCAACAAAACCTGACGGTGCGTGTTCGCTGCCATCTCCGAAGCGACCCAAGAAGAGACCGTCTCTGGCAATTCCGGAAGCTCTGGACTCATTTCATCTTCAAGCGCTCAAAGGCATCATTCACGGCTACTTCCACATGAACCAAGGTCCTACTCTACTAAAAGTAGGACGCTTTCCTCAATGAGTATTTCACGAGTTTGCTGCGTGTTATCAAGGTTCAGCGACCGTGTACTGTGCATACTAAAGTTGCAAGCTTGCGAGCGAAGCCAAAGTTAGAAATACGAGACCGCGCATCGTAGGTCTGCTCGGACGCGCGCTCGCGCAGTGCAAGCTACGTTCCAGACTGCATGCTCGTGCCCATAGCATTCACACCGTTCGCACTTGTGCTCAAACGGAGCATAACAGTGTGGCCGAAAATGATATGAATGAATGCACTAAACCGGAAGAATTAAAAAAAAATGGTGCAAGCGGTGTTTTAACTAAGTTTGATGTAGGCAACATTTAATTATCGGCTCAACGCTGAACACCGTAAAATTTGGTTTTGTCTCTCAATAGTCCTCTACGTACATGGCCGGAATGAGAAAAGAAAATATGTATTTCAGTTCTCATACATAAACTAGATCGCAGAAAGCTGGAAGTATGCCAGAGGTGATAGGATGCAAACGTTGGAGAACAAGTATCCATGAGAGATTCGATCATAGAAAGAAACAGATGGAACACGTTATTGCATCACATTGCAGGAATGGAGAAATCAGGATAACAGAATCACTGTTAAATAGGGCTCATTTTGCAGCAACTCATTTGCTATTGTGTCGCGTGGCAACATTTGTGAGATGTGACGCAAAGGAGACTTGTTCAGCCTGGTCCTTTTTAAGGTCGGGGCACCTCATAGGTGTTTCTTTTCTATCTTTTAGCTTTTGATACAGGTAACGTCATGTCCCTAAGCGTTTGCATCCAGTCATCACCGCAGGCATCATATTGGAAGTACTTTAGAATACTTCCAAGAAGAAGAAGAAAATAGACGGTGCTATGGAGAATTTGGATTACTTCCAACTTTCTGTGATGCATAGTTTATTTATGCACGTTAAAAAACAGCGTTTTTCAGCTTGCCTAAACTATCTGGCTTCAAAGTTTGTCTTTGAGGCCATGTAGTAGATAGAAACGTGTCTCATGTCCAAATAATTCGTAATCAGATTGACTTAAGTTTTGTTGTCAAAAGTGCACAGTGTGACTTTTGTTTTTCTAACTCCTTACGCAGGTCTTAGACGATGTCCGCGGCGATGCTCCTTTCCCCAAGGTTAGCCGATCTACTCTGTGGAGAGCACTGCAAAATCTAGGTTTTCGTTTTAAGAAGCGTGGTCGGAACTCCACCCTGCTGGAGCGAACAGACCTTATTCTGTGGCGTGCACAGTACCTGCGAGAAATCAAGGCATACAGAGCAGAAGGGTGTCCCATCTATTTGATGGATGAAACGTCGGCAAATGCAGGGCACACTCGCTCCAAAGTGTGGACAGATACAAACGTGAAGGCACCAAGACATGCCTACTATAGAGGCCTCAGTCTTGGACTCAAGAGTTCATCCGGGAAGGGAGGCCGCGTCGTCATCCTACATGTTGGCAGTGAGGACTGCTTGATGCAAGGCGCAGCTGAAGTGTTCCGGGCCAAGAAGGGCACCGGTGACTATCACCAGGAAATGGACGGCAAGCGATTTGAGAAGTGGCATACAGAGAAGTTGTTGTCCAACATCAAGGCCGACAGCGGGATTGTCATGGACAACGCTCCATACCCCTCCGCCGAGCTGAATGCCTGTCCGAGCAGCAGCACATTAAAGAAGAATGTGGAAGGCTGGCTGACGCTGCATAGAGTTACTTGGGACTCTACAATGTTGAACGTAGAGCTGCTGAACCTTGTAAAAATGAAGAGAGTCAAAAGGCCGGAACTGGAGAAGTGTCGCGTGGACGCAATAGCAGAGCAGCATGGACACGTGGTTCTTCGTCTGCCGCCTGACCATTGTGAGCTCAATCCGGTTGAGCTGGTGTAGAATCAAGTTTAGGACTATATCGCATGCCAGAACGTCACTTTCAAGCTTGCGGATGTGGAAGCGCTGACCCCAGTCGCTATCCAGCAAGTGACTGCAGGGAACTGGTCAAGCTACGTACATCACGCCGTCGGAGTGGAGTGGCGAATGTGGGCAGATGACGGATTTGATGACATCGCCATCAACAGCTTCATCATCGAGACCGATGGAGACTCTGCCACGGACAGTTCGGATGATAAAGACATGGGTTGTGACAAACTGCAGTGCTGAGTCGCCACACGACTGGGCCTGGGCCATGCTCGTCCGACTGGGAACGCCATGCCACGCTCGTCCGACTGGCAGACAGCCTCCTTCTCCGATTGGTTGCGGACAGGTAAGAGAAAAATGGCGCACATTTTTACTCTCTCTCTTATAGTAGTGGGACAGTCTCTTAACTTGACGCGCTCTGTTCTTTTATCACGCAGGTTGTCTACTCGACTCGTGGTTCCGTGGAACAACAAGATTGTTCGGGAATGCCATGCCACACTCGTCCGACTGACAAGCAGCCTCCTCCTCCGACTGGTCGCGGACACCTTAAAGAGGAACACCTTAAATTTCCCTCCTGTTAAGCTCTGCATCCAACCTTCCCCTTCCAAGCGAAGCTTGGGCTGTACAGGTACTTGAGGGCTTTGAAGTGAAGTCTGCCATCTTCACCGAATCAGCCGTACCAAAGAATTACGACAAACCACTTTTTACCCGAAAGGCGCTTAGGTGATGCCTTCAAGGGATGACTCCCTGTCAATGAGGACTTTTATTTACGGTTATGTTGCAACTCTCGTAGACACAAGGAAAGATTTCCCTTTAAATTATCTAAGTACAGTGAAAAGTGCCATTCACGACTTTCATGAACTGCATGTGTGTGCCGGTGGTCCATGCGACGAAATGTACCGTGGCATCCACCCTGAGTGTGCGTAAGTTGACTCCTGTGGTGTATGGCGGCGCAAAAAATTCACATTGTTCACAAAAGAGAAACGTTGCAAAGCCTGCGAGATATTGAAGGACGTGCTTTGAATTCATATCAGGAAAAAAAGAAAAAAAAAGTGAAAGCCGTTTACAATTCCCTGTAACGCCGAATTGGAGCGCAGCTCTTGAGGAGGAGGAGTGAAGGGTACTGAGGGGAGGGTAGACCCCTCCTCCTTCTCCTCCTCCTTCCCTCATTCTTAATATGCTCCGGGGGGTCACGTGACCTCGGGAAGGGGGAGTCACGTGACTTCGGGGAGGGGGGTCACGCGACCTCGGGGAGGTGTGATCTAGGGGTCACGTGACCTTGGGAGGGGTCACGTGACCTGGGGCGGCCTTGGGGGTAACGTGGGGGTCACCTTGGGGGTCACGCGACCTTGAGGTGACCTTGGGAGGGGTCACGTGACCTCGGGGGGTCACGTGACCTTGGGGAGGGGGCCACGTGACCTCGGGGTCACGTGACCTTGGAGGGGTCACGTGACCTTGGGGTGACCTCGGGGCCACGTGACCTTGGGGTGACCTTAGGAGGGGTCACGTGACCTCGGGGGGTCACGTGACCTTGAGGTGACCTTAAGAGGGGTCACGTGACTTCGGGGAGCCACGTGACTTGGAGGGGTCACGCGACCCCTCCAGGTCACGTGACCTTGGGGCGACCTTGGTAGGGGTCACGTGACCTCGGGGGGTCACGTGACCTTGGGCAGCGGGCCACGTGACCTCGGGGTCACGTGACCTTGGAGGGGTCACGTGACCTGAGGGTCACGTGACGTTCAAGGGGTCACGTGGGGGTCACCTTGGGGTCACGTGACCTTGAGGTGACCTTAGGAGGGGTCACGTGACCTTGTGGGGTCACGTGATCTGGAGAGGTCACGTGACCTTGGGGTGACCTTGGGGGTCTCGTGACCTTGAGATGACCTTGGTTACGCCGACGCCGCTCAAGCCGGAAACGGGCCCCTAAGAGCTGCGCTCTAAAACGTGAAACGAAACGCATTCAGCTTCTAGCTATCCCATCGGAGAAAGCCAGTGTTAACATAATACGCAAAGCTAGAACTGCCTGCCATAGATCCAAAGTGGAACTTATTAAAGGAAAAATTAAGCTAAAAACAAAGTTGGCTAGCTATAAACCCAAACTGCAAGTAGTAAACAATGAAACCCTTTATCATCTTTCCAGAGAGGCAAATCTACAATAGGGTTAGCAACTTGTTTTGAAGTGTGTTACAGCTGCGAAGGCTCGATCGAAAAAGGGTCGTGAATATACACACAACTGAATTCTACTTTGCCTCCTTCTTCACATCAGGTCGCCTGCCCGATATAGATTTCTCATGGAGAATAAAGTTTTGCCTTTACCATCAGTACAACCAATGCGTCGCTATGTTGAGATGGTCAGCTTTAAATCTGGTTTTGACAACAAGTGTTTCAGTGCCCTCAAGAAGAAAATGGAAAAAGGATGACTTTAAATGAGGTGGCATAATCATGTTTGACGAAATTCAATTCAGGAAGAGCAAGCGTGTCAACACGAAGACAATGACTTATGCAGGGTTGACTTCAGACATCTAACACGCCGATGAATTTGAAGAAAAGTTTGGTTTTTATATTTCGTCCGCCTGGAGAAAGTTACACGCAGCGTATTGGAGTTTTTGTTGCTAAGAGTGCAACGAAAGGCATTGTGCTTGCACAGCTTCTGGTGCAAGCCATGGTAGTTATAGAAAATGCCGGTACGCAAATTCACGGTTTTGTTAGTGATGGCACATCCACCAACAAAAGAATGTGGAAACTCTTGGGCATCAGTGGAGAACTCGAAGGTATTGTCAACTGATTCGCACACGCAAATTACCCCGATAGTAAGGTGTCTGCCTTTTCTGATGCACCGTACCTCTTCAAGTGCATCCGGAATCGGCAGAAGTAGCTGAAGGACGAGCGGTGGATAAGGTGGGAGGAATACGCTGCCGTCTACAAAAAAAGACCTCGTTGTCGCCGGGGATTTAAAGGGTTGTTCCAAGATTACACATGCACACATTTACCCTAGCACCTGAGAGAAAATCTGTGTCAAGCTTGCTACGCAAGTGTTTAGTTGCTTCATGGCTTCAGGAATTCGGTTTTACAGAAGACGAGGTGTGTACCGTCTGGAGATCAGCGAGTGAACCGAAGAGTTCACATTGCTTTTGAATGACTTGTTTGACGCGATGAACCGTCGTTTTCCAGATGAAGGCATTGTCAGGAATGGCCCGGACCTTGCTGTCCTAAACCGTGGTGTGGAATGGCTTGTCACATGGGAAAAGGAACTGAAGAATGATGCGGTCATCCAGGAGATGTTCCAAACAAAGAGCACATCAGAAGGGCTTCATGTCACCTTAAAATCTACGAGAGAACTTTGAGCTCCTGCTGGAGAAGCACAACTTCAAATTCGTCCTCACAAGCAAGATGAACCAGGATCCTATTAAACGTTTCTTTGGAAAGATCAGAATGACAGACAGTCAGAAGGACCATCCATCAAAGCCGACATTTCTACAACTGTACTAGACGTTGAGTATCTACAGTCGTTTGATACCTCCGAAGTTTGGAAACTGCAGAGTGGTGGAAGGAGAAAAACCTTTACTTGACTCATCGGACTTCAGGGCCCTCATCAGCATAGATGAAGAGAGCAGGTCATCTCTTCCCTTCGTCTACCAGGTGAAGAAGGAACTGGAAAATCTCATATTTGTCGTTGACTGGGAATGTGAGGAAATTTTCTCTTTCTGGAGGAACTAATGTCGTAGATAGTATACTCTATTATTTAGCAGGAGTTTTTAGCAGGAAATTGAGAAAGGCTACGAGCTGCGCCACATGCCATTCTGTCTTCAGTATCGAGCCAAACTTGTCCGCTGAGGCATCGTTGTCGAACCTAAAAAACATGAAAGCCGTTTACAAATCCCTGTAACGCCGAATTGGAGCGCAGCTCTTGAGGAGGAGTAGGGAAGGGTACTGAGGGGGGTCACGTCACCTGCGGGTAGTCACGTGACCTCGGGGGGGGGGGGTCACGTAACCTGGGGGGGTCACGTGATCTCGGGGGGGGGGGGGGGGTCACGTGATTTCGGGGGAGGGGGGGGTCACGTGAACTCGGGGGGGGGGGGGGGTCACGACCTCGGGGGGGGGGGGGGTCACGTGACCTCGGGGTGGTCACGTGACCCCCCCCCCCCCGGTTACGCCGACGCCGACGCTGACGCCGCTCAGGCTGGAAACGGGCCCCTAAGAGCTGCGCTCTAAAACAGGGGAGGCCTAGTTCATCCAAACCAAAATATGTTTAATCTGCGAAAGAAAACCGGAGATTTTTGTAAAAGATGCAGAATGCCAGACTTGACCGGGAGACAATTGAAGACGTTCTTGATGTACGCACACTAACATTTCCATGTGCCGAACAAAAAGAACAGACAGTTGCTCATGTGTTGCACTAATTTGTCAGCATGCCGATTTGGCAATACAGTAAGCATATTAACCAAAGTTTGAAGAACGAAGCATAAAGAAAGAAGAAGTCTGCTAAAACGGGCTCATTTATACCCTTGTTACACGGGCACACTTAACTGCGGTTACGCTAAGCCACAGTTAGCGCACAATACTTGCCGACAACGTTCTACGGCGATGCAGTCAGAGCTATGGGCGAACGTGCGCTTGAGCATCTTGAGCACCCAATAAAGCAGTGCACGCGCTCTCTTCACTTCTTTTGAAATAGCTGTCCGAGGGTATAGTGCGGCATCTGTGCTGCCACGTAACCGCAGTTAAAGCTGAGTTAACCGCGGTTAAGTGTGCCCGTGTAACAGCGGTATTAGACTTTTTTAAGATTTTAAAAATAACAGTGAGAATGCTCGGTAGGAAATCACTCTGTAGGGAAAGCAAGTAAATTATGCCGTCGGTGATAAGTCTAGTCAGTGCAGTACACTATATTGGTTGCATATCTGTATCACCGTTAAGCCAACACTACACAAGGTGGAGGGATTTTTGTAAAGGACATGGTCGTTTGTGACTGCTTTCAT